TTTAGTCATGTCGCAAGGATGTGTATGCACATAGTTAAACTGCCAGTCTAAGCCGAACGTGGAGAAAATAGATGATGCTTCGTGGTTGTTGAGATCGAATGTTTTAATTTGCGACTTTCAATCAACATCCCACAAATCGAGGTTCCATTTCAAATTTCAAAAGGTCGAAAAAGAAAAAAAAGAAAAAACAGAAAGAAAAAAAGCTACAGGCTACACATAAAAAAAAGGGCTAACGGGTAAGTGTTACAAACTCAATTCAATTCAATTTCACAATTTCGGAAAGAAAGAAAAGGAGACGAAAAAAAAATTCTACAATCAAAACGGGGTAGTTTGATTTCGGATTTCACATCATGGGTGAGGGGACGACCGCTCGAAGCTTGGGAAGAAAGTTTCGTTTCTGTTGCTACTTGCTGCGTCTTGGTTCAGGGAACGCAAGGCAAGAAATCCACGGACTGGGTGGGATGGGCGCGGCGCGTGGGGCCTGCGGGCAGGCGATGCACTGGTGATACGATGGGATGGTGGGAGCTCCCTTCGTTGGGACTTACGTCTCTATTTTCTGATTTCTGATTGGGGCAAGGTAAGAAATCCACGCGCGGCGGAATAGACGCGGCGCGTTCGTGCGTCCGGTGTGCGCTGGTGGCGCTGGTAGCGGGGATGATATGGGATGCATTGGGAGCGGCGGGACTGGGATGCGTTTGGGGGTAATGGGGGTATGTAGCTCAACGAGAGCCCGGGAAATTCAATAGCCGGTCGGACGAATAAAAGACAAGGAAGATGTCGGGGGATGATATGGCATCTACGCCCTTTTCACCGTTCCGCCTCCGCCGCCGTACCCAACCCAAACAATACGGACCCCTTCCTCTCCCCCCGTGCACCTCCAACCCTAATCTTCTTATTATGCCCCCCCTCCCCGCCCTCCTCCGCGTCCGCACCCTCCTCCAACTCCTCCGATCTCCTCTTCCTCATCCTCCTCGGGCTCTCCACCGCCTGTGCCAAAATCAGCGGTATGAGCTCCCCCGTCCTCGCTCTCTTAGGGGGCGTCCCGCTCCTCGTGCTCGACGTCCCAGAGGGTGAATCCCCACTACCCGTGCTCTCCCCCGTCCCCTCCAGCTCAAGCTCATCGCTGCTCCTTTTCCGCGCCGTCGTAGTTGAGTGGTGCAACGCAAGCGGCGGCGGCGACATCGTCTGAATCAACCCAACATCCGCATCAGCATCCGCATCCACCTCCAGATCCACGTCCTCGCCCGAATCGACATCCGCCACGTCCGATCCCAACTCCTCGTACCCCCCATACCCTTCCCCATCCTCCACATCCACATCCACATCATCATCGTACTCCTCCTCCTCCTCCTCCTCCCCCTCCTCCTCACCGCCGCTCATCCCCTCCTCCTCCTGACCATCAAACTCCTCCAACCTCACCGTCGTCACCTCCTTCTCCCTCTCAACACGCACAAACGTCGGTAACGCCTCTATAGGCTGTATCAGACTCTGTACCCCAATTTTCGCATTTGCCGTCTTTTTCGGGGACTGCGGTGGTTGGGTTGGAGTAGGGCGTGGGGGTGGAGGGTATGATTCTTGATGCGGTTGAGGTTGGGGTACGTATGATTGTTGTTGTTGGGGCGGGTGTACAGCAGCGTGTGCGCGGGCGGCTGCGCGTAGGCAGATTGAGCATCTGCACCGGTAGAGAGGAGCGCATGCTTCGCGCCATGTCTGGATGGGTTATGATGAGTACGAACCCCCTCAAAAATAATAAAAAAAGAACACCCACCTGCCTAACAGCATCCATCGTATACATCGGTAAGTGCCTGGCCGTCGTAGGAATATACGGCACCGTATGTAGTGGTTTCGGCGGATTAAGCACAGGCGCCACCTCTATCCTCGGGACGTTCTTCTCTTCCTCCTCTTGCCCGTCTTCTTCCTCTTCTTCTTCTTGCTCTTGCTCCTCTTCCTCTTCGTGCCCCTCACGATCTTGCTTTTGCTTAGAGCCGTGTATAGGCGGCGGCGACGGCGTCGTCTGCAGCGTAGTCGTCGAGAGGACAGGGCTCGTCGCATTCGAGCTCCTACTCCCCACCGAGGAGGAGGACGACGAGGAGGACGAGTCGTCCGAGTTATCGATGGGTCGATCTTGAGGCGGGTGCCACTGCTCCGTATCCCTCTCTTCGCGCTCCAAGGGGGAAAACGACGACGAGTGTATAGACTCGGGAGAAGAAGCCTCCCCCTCACGCTCCTCACACAAACTCCGCCACCTCCCTACCCAATCGAACCCCTCAAGCCACACGCCCTCCTCATTCCTCAGCGCCTCCAACACATCCTCCACACCCATCTTCGCCGCACGTATCGCCGGGTCCTCGGTCCGCCCCTTCGCCTTTGAGTTTCTAGGTCTCTGTGTACCCGACGTAGAAGACGCCATGTCGGGTGTCTGGCACTCTATCACGATCTTCCGCATCAAATTCCTCATCGGGGGAAGCAACACCTCCTTGAGTGCCCTAGTATGAGCACCAAACGCCGCTTCGCAAAGATTATACGTAGGCGGGATAGTTCCCCTCCTCGTCGCCTTTGTTGGGTGTTGTTCCCCCTCCCCTGGTTGATCGTCATCATCAGCACCACTTTCCTCCTCGTTGTCTTCACCACTCGAAGAGAAAGATACTCCGACGTCAGGTACGACCCACGCACAAGGCCACACCGCCCCCACCCAATCGTTTTCCCACCCGGGCCCGCGGTACCCATACCACGAATCCGCCGGGCTAACCCAGTGCCCATCGAGAATGCGAGCGCGCGCCCAGTCCTGCAGGGCCATGTCGCGCATGTGGAGATGGACTTCTTCGGCGTGGATGTCGTCCGAGTCGTCGTCCGAGGTGGAAGAGGCGAAGGAGGGTGATCGTGAGCGGGAGCGGGATCGAGTGGGAGGGAGGTGAGAGGGTGAGAGGGGGGTAGGGGATGATCTAGTTGAAGTGGTGAACTCTTCTTCTTCCTCTTCTTCCTCTTCCTCTTCTTGTGGAAGAACGGTGGGTGCGGCAGGGAAGGTAGTTTGTGTAGGTTGAGGTTGAGGATCAGGAGAATAATCATACTCCAGCCCCTCCCGCTCGACCCTCGTGCTTTTCTTCAACATCAAAAGCATACTGTCCAACCTCGTGTTCTTAGCCAACCACATCTTCTCCCTCGCAAGCCCCAGAACGTCCCTGACGGTTCCCTCGCCCAGATCCACAAAGGCCTCTATCGCAGCTTTGACCTCCCAATCCCTCGTCCTGCCCGCACCACCAGCCCCGCGCTTAACCCATCCCCGCAGCGCCTCGAGATCGCCCGGCGTGTCTGCAGCGCGCTTATAGAGGCACTCATGGCGACAGGACCTGCAGGTCGCATCAACGGCGGGGAACGCGTCCTTGTCATCGTTATCCACGATATCGGACATGGGGTTATGGTCGTAGGATGCGTGTGGGTGTGCGGCGCGGAGGCAAAGGCCACAGAAAGAGAGGGGACGGCGATCGTGCATGGGGCAGAGTGGGATAATGTGTAAGTTGGGAGTACGGTGTAGACGCTTTGCGGTGAGAAGGCCGAGGGACGTGGAAGGGGAGTTGATGCGACAGACGATACAACTGGCGCGAGTTATATTGCGAAAGTGGGTAAAGGGAGATATACGGGTGGGAGAGCTAGAAGTGTTGTGTTTTGGTAGATGGTGAGCTAACGCGTCTGTAGGGTCAATTAACGTAATAGCTTGGTTCCAGAATAAGTGATGTTGAACTATCAATGAAAAGTCAGTGTTATACATGTAAAAACTTGTCAATTCCAACCCACGAGCTGCGTGCCATTGAGGACATATCCCCATCATATGCCGCTCAAGTTCATTACCATCCCGCAGAACAGAGTAAAGCATTCGGTGATGCCATGCCTCCCTAGAATCCCACGTCTGCGGCATATAACCATTGGCGCTCACATCTAGCAGATAAAAAGTCGCAATCGACCTGCCCCAATTATCATGGTGGCGTTCTTACAAAAGTAACACAAGATAACCCACCTCAAGAGCTCCTCTGGCAGCTGCGGCCACGATCGATGCGTGACCTTGCCTTTGTACACATTCGACATTGCCGTGCTCGTCGTGCTCGACGACATCGCCCAACGTCCGCTTTTTTGACCTGTGACCTTTGAGTCGATGAGGTTCAGTGACGCAAGGGCAAACCCACCACAGCATTGTGTACACAAACAAAGAACCCGAATCAGTTCCCACGCACGGACCACTTTCATTGTTCCCCAAATCGAACAAGGGCCTAAACACGGTGCCCTTCGAACCCGACGAGCGGCCGGAGCTACGCTTACAAGTTACAAGTGAAGTACAATGTACACGACACGTACGGCGTTCCATCCCTCATCAAGTGACCGTCCGCGCTATTATACCGCTCGGGCATACGGCGGCCACCATACAACAAGACATATGTCACATGTAACTGACAACGCGCCTAGGGGACCATTTGAGGAGGATCGAATGGAAGGTATGTACGGTAACGGGAGAACATGGTAAAGCCCAGAGGGGAATCTAAGCCTTATAAGGTCCTCCCAACTATTAATAAAAGTAACTTGCGGGGAACAAGAAGCCAAAAACCCTCGACGTACATAGAAATCTCCATACACGGTATGGTGTGGTATCTCCCACCGACGCGTCAAAGTCAAAGTCAAAGTCGCCCCCACCTGCGTGACCGCGTCCCGTGGCGTGCCTGGGCGATCTCTAATACATAATCAATATCTCGAATACTCCGCGATGTTCACGCAGCGCAGCGCCACCTAAAGTCGGATTGCCTTGAGAAATCAGGGTAAGAATCCAAGAACATAATATCCCAGCGTTGTGTTATCCATACCCCTCGAATGCAATCACGATGGGCGCACAAAAAGTTCTGTGGCACAAGTTCCATTGTATAGGGCCTGAAGAAAACAAACAGTCCTCGCTCCCGCACAAGTGGTCGAGAATACAATAGATATGATCAAAATAGGTTCCACGTATCAACCTTATATGATGAGAGGGAGATTCGAACTCCCGCCCCCGAAGAGACCAGATTACAAGAGGGTATCAGGATGAAGACATCGAGAACGCCTTAGTCTGGCGCCTTAGACCGCTCGGCCATCTCACCATGGCTTCTGGAGGAGGAGGGTCGTTTCCGGCGGGCTAGGATTTGGCGTCCCGAGGCGTAAGACTGGAACATAAGGGCAGATGATGAATCACATCCGTGAAGAAAAGAGACCGAAGTGCGCATCTGGACTCCTCCAATCAACGGAGATCGTCATTACTGCGGACATTTGTTCAGGTAAGCAAAAGGATTAAGACCACATTGTTATGTTACGATGATGAGAGGGAGATTCGAACTCCCGCCCCCGAAGAGACCAGATTACGGAGGGTATCAGGATGAAGACATCGAGAACACCTTAGTCTGGCGCCTTAGACCGCTCGGCCATCTCACCATGGCTTCTGGAGGAGGAGGGTCGTTTCCGGTGGGCTAGGCTTTGGTGTCTTTAGTTGCCGGGGGGTGAGGCGTAAGACTGGAACATAAGGGCAGATGATGATTCACATCCGTGAAGAAAACACCCCGGAATGCGCATCTGGAACTCTCCACCAAGGGGATGGTCCTTACACCTGGCCCAAGAGCGCTACTGCGGACGGTTGTTATTGTGAGCAAAAGGATTGGTGCCACAGTGTTATGATGAGAGGGAGATTCGAACTCCCGCCCCCGAAGAGACCAGATTACAAAGGATATCAGGATGAAGACATCGAGAACGCCTTAGTCTGGCGCCTTAGACCGCTCGGCCATCTCACCATGGCTTCTGGAGGAGGAGGGGACGTTTCCGGCGGGCTAGGATGTGGTGTCTTCGCAGGAAGTCGGAAATGCGGGGGCGTGGGGCGTGGGGCGTCTACTGGGAAGGGATGATGAATGACATCAGAACACCG